CACAGCACGATCGCATATGTTCATATATAGGATGATTCACATAGGACGTATCCAATAGAAAGAAAAAAAAGAAACTCCTTATAACATTTAGTTGATTTCTTTTTTTTTTTTTTTTGGAGTCAAAGCCTTTATTTACATGTTAACGAAAAAAGAAAGCAAAAGGATAATACAAATATACAGAAAAGTATGGGTGGGGGTGGGGGNGCAAAATGGGATGCAATACGATTTTTGGCGAGATGTAATTTTTGCGAAAATATACGGCTAACTGATAAGCAATGACAAAGATAGAAATATTGAAACAAAAACTATCATACTGAAGTTGATAATTATCCTGAAGTTATATGAAAAATTAAGTGTTCACAGCATCTACATTAAAAAAGATCCACTTGTTACGAGACATATTCTTTGGCCCAATTTTATCCATGCATATATCTTTCTCTATGCTTCTTCAGTATCATATATTACTGAGTCCAATAACATTATGTAGCATATCCTCCTTCCGGAGTCACTCTTCTTAAAAGAACTTGCACTCGTAAACTAGTATAAGGTCTTCTAAAATGTTTCTTCCTCGTCCCTTTAGCTTCTAGCAAGGTTCAGTGGTCCGATTCGACACAATCACTCATTTCTACCAAATTTGACACCCATAACTTGTAAGCTCAAAACTATCCACTACAATACTTTTCATCAAAATTTATAATAAATCGTTATTCCTTCGACATATCCCTTCCTTAACTCAAGAATCCACCTCGGAATTTTGAAAAACCGACTGTAGATTCGGATTCCCCGATCAAGATTTACTTTCGTCAACCTTTATAGAAAATCGTTATTTCCCGAAAATACCTCTTCCTCAGCCCAAACTCCACTTCAAAATTTTGAGAAACCGATTGCAGATTCGGATTCCCCGGCCCCGATTTACTTTTGTCAACTTTTATTATAAATAGTTATTTTCCCGAAAATCCCGCTCCCTTACAATGAAGTACTTTAAAGTACATGAAGTGAATTGAAGTACATTAAAGTACTTTAAAGTACTTTAAAGTATATTAAAGTACATTAAAGTACGAAAGTACAAAAGTACGATGTCTCCCCCTTGACTTGAGGACTTAAGGGTACTCTCTAATATAGGGCTTGAAGACCTAAGCGTGCTCTCCTAATACAGGACTTGAGGACCTTAGGGTATCCTCCTAATATGGGACTTGAAGATCTAAGGGTACTCTCTAATATAGGACTTGAGGATCTAAGAGTACTCTCCTAATGCAGGACTTGGGGATACAAGGGTACCCTCATAGTATAGAACTTGAGGACTTAAGGGTATCCTCCTAATATGATTATTTAAGACTATGTCAACATATCTACTTTAACTTTAATTGGTTAAGTTAAAGTTTAGTGATACTTTAAACTTTAAAAGTTGAAGTTTAAAGTCGTACTTTAAACTTTAACTTTAACTTTTAAAATTTAAAGTAATACTTTAAGCTTTAAAAGTTAAAGTTTAAAGTATTACTTTAAACTTTATACTTTCTTAAAGTGTTTTTAAAGTTAAAGTAACACCCCTATACTGTACCTGATGTACGTGTTGATATGGAAACAATATTGAATAAACTTGTATCGAAATATAATTCTTATGAACATTTAGATGAAGGCACAGATGATATACCAGCACATGCATAATGTTCATTACTCAATTCATCAATTAATGTTCCTATTACATCAGCGCGTTCAGTTTTTGGTACTTGGTAAGGAACATATTTATGTGAACATAGAAACTATGCTAGAAGTCGAAATATTATTGTAACAATTAATGGATAACCGAAAAAATTGAAAAGAATTTCTTCGAAGACTTCTTTATACGAGCAAATTAGAAATTAAGTTTTTACTGCTGTTATTGTTGTTGAATTTTTTTATAGTAATCAATTAGGAGACCTTCATGCACTTTTAATGTTATTGTGCAATATGTCGAAATGATTTTAACTTTTATGCTGATAGTCTTATTGTCAAATCATTAAAGATTTATGAATAGATGAAAATAAGAGTAAAAAAAATTTTAAATGCTCTTTCTTTGAAAAAACAAAGAAAAGATCAAGATGCAAAATTAACTTGAAAAATATCTTCAGTGTGATTCGAATTGCCTTTTTATTGTAACTCATGCCAGGAAAGTTGATATTGCCGTTGCTAATGATGGAAGCTCCTCTAATGTCTCCTTTCGATTTCAATAATTTTTTGCCCATAAATACCAAATAGAGTTCTAACAAAAACTCTAAAAGGATTCGGGTTCCTATTGAGATTTGACTAAGCCATCGAATTTTTTTCTAGAGGCTCTAGAAATTTGTAAAACTTGTATTTTCGAAATTTGAACGAACTCTCTTCAAGATATGAACCTTTCAAAATATGTATGTTTTATATACACTATTGATGAAAAAAGTCTAGATCTTCAAAGTTTTATATTTTGAAAAGACCAAAGCTACAGCTAATCATAGTTGTAAGGAAAAAATCGAACTAGTGAATCTACCGCAAGTTAGCTGAAAGTCATGAATATTCTTCTTTCCTTCTGATAATAGACACATTAAAAATTTGATAGGTTAGTCAGATTTCAATAGGAACTGACATCCTTTTAGAATTTCTACGAAGGGGTATTCTGGAAAGATGAACATCTATGATAAGGCCCCGTATCACCTGTTGTGAAAAATCAGTCTTGCTGCTGGGCTTAATTTGAGTGTATTTCTTAGTACTGACGTGAGTCTGTAGGTTGTTACTCCCATTGGTTGTTCAAAATGGTGTTGCGGTGTGAGATACTTGAACGATGCTTGCAGAATGGAAGGCTCATTAGCGACCCGCTTCGTTGGCATCGATAGTATATTCGAATTTGAAGGATCTTGTTGCATGAAACTGATTTGCGGAACTGCAAGTATGTGTTTGTATGTCTGAAGCCAGTTGAGCAATACAGCTGAAGCATCAAAGGGTTGCTGTGGCTGAAATTGCGCTTTTAGCAGGAAATGCATTGGCGTCGGTTTGCGCACGAATTGAGGCTCTTGTGATTGTATTTGAGGGGGGCCCACAAATTAACCGCTCAAATTTACAAACGGTGCAGTTACACATATCACATATTCGCAGCTGTCATCATTTCATTAAATGATGCGTGTTTCTTTAGTTTGGAGAGCTTTATGCGTTTCTGAAGCTTCATGAAATATTAAAGTTCTATGGGTATGTGAGGTTCATCGAGTTCAATAAGAACGCCAAAGTGCAACACTGAAAGTTCAAAAATTCAGTTTAAGGTTACGAATGTAGTGCGATTCGAGAATTTCCTGTGTTTCTTTTATTTTGATGGTTTTTAATGCTACTTGTGAGGCATGGTTTGCTGGCCGCAAGACGGAACTAATTTTTAAAGTAACCCAGATAAATGAGTCATAAAATACTTTGATCTTCATGATTTTTATGAACAGCTTTGGTAAAGTGTCTGAGAGCCTGCTACTATCTTGGGTGGGTGTCAGGATTAGTAGGCCTTCGCGCTCATTAAAAATGTTTGCTACTGTTGGTGTCATGAGATTGCTGATAGCTTCTATTACTTGCGTGGAAATTCTGATAGTACTTCGTAGTCCCAAGTAATTGTCGGTAGTGAACTAGTGTACCTGAGAGTCCCTGATTATCTTTGCTACTTTCTTGTGATTTCCGATAATGGCTAATAACTCCCCATAATCCCTGTCGGCCTCTTGTAATCTCTTGTTGTCTTGTACTGTCCTTAGGAATCATTTTCAATAGGCGTAACAGATCTTTTTATCCTTATCAATAGCTCTCGATGAGAAAGCAAAATGGGATGCAATACGATTTTTGGCGAGATGTAATTTTTGCGAAAATATACGGCTAACTGATAAGCAATGACAAAGATAGAAATATTGAAACAAAAACTATCATACTGAAGTTGATAATTATCCTGAAGTTATATGAAAAATTAAGTGTTCACAGCATCTACATTAAAAAAGATCCACTTGTTACGAGACATATTCTTTGGCCCAATTTTATCCATGTATATATCTTTCTCTATGCTTCTTCAGTATCATATATTACTGAGTCCAATAACATTATGCAGCATATCCTCCTTCCGGAGTCACTCTTCTTAAAAGAACTTGCACTCAACACTGAAAATAGCCCATCAATTACTTTTCCCTTACTATTCGAATTAATATCATGTCTACGGATAATTCGTAAACAGATATTTTCCGTGCAAGGCCTTTATCATACTGCATTTCTGCATAAAAATTGAAGTCATTTCCACGACTTCATTGCGTACTGCATCCCTACTCCTAAGGTATCTATTCAGCATCAAATGCCATGGCCAACTATTACATGAATTCAAACCGGTCCTAAACAGGTCACCCTCCATTCCACACTTGATATTCCCAGCTTTCACCAAGAAGATTCAGCATTCATGAAAACAATTTCCAGGATTCAACGCAAACTCTACTCAGCTGAGCGCAGTAGAACCCGCTTTCAAACGATGAAAGCTACTTTAATAATAAAATCTTATTATTGTACTTAAAAGATGGTTTTCCATAACAAAACACTATAAATCCACAGAATCCATGAAAACGTTTCTGAGAAATCCGTAAACTAGTATAAGGTCTTCTAAAATGTTTCTTCCTCGTCTCTTTAACTTCTAGCAAGGTCCAGTGGTCCGATTCGACACAATCACTCATTTCTACCAAATTTGACACCCATAACTTGTAAGCTCAAAACTATCCACTTCAATACTTTTCATCAAAATTTATAATAAATCGTTATTCCTTCGACATATCCCTTCCTTAACTCAAGAATCCACCTCGGAATTTTGAGAAACCGACTGGAGATTCGGATTCCCCGACCCCAATTTACTTTCGTCAACCTTTATTATAAATAGTTATTTTCCCGAAAATTCCGCTCCCTTACAATGAAGTACTTTAAAGTACATGAAGTACCTTAAAGTACATTAAAGTATATTAAAGTATATTAAAGTACGAAAGTACAAAAGTACGATGTTTCCCCCTTGCAGATTTATAATAGAATCAGAAGATACTCTCGATCTATCTGATGATAAAAATTCAGATTCGGATTATGATAATGAAACTGAAGATGAAGAAGATCAAAAAGCACTTGGTAATCATCAATTTATTTTAGAATATATGGAAAAGGTTGCTAGTTTTGCACGGCCAGGTATTTCCTTCATAACAGTACAATATGCGTATCCGCGAGTCACATATTCTATGCAATTGAAACGATTTCAAGAATATGTTGCAAGTAATGGAAATCGGCAACAAAAACTAAGACGAATAGCAACTATCGTATTTGAAAGATTTCGACGTGCTCGAGAAACAAAAATTTACCTGTACATGACATCGACATTCAACGTTGGGCATTGTGTGAAGCAAAATTGGAGAATTTATGTGACTTTAAACCAAGTCATCATTGGCTCCTCGATTTTAAGAAACGCCATGGTATTTACTCAAGAAAGGTGACAAAATTTGTTTCACGTCGGGAAACGGTTGATAAATCGTCAACTAAAAGGAACTGCCGATGAATTTGTTGACAAAGTATCCAAATGTATTTCGAAATATAAGTTGGATGTTGTATTAAATGCAGATCAATCCAGCTTTCACTATGAGATGGCTCCGAATCGAACATTATCTTATGTAGGAGAGAAGACCACTTATGTATCAGTTAATTCTATTAATGCTACAACTCATTTTTACACAGTGATGCCAATCATCACTGCCGTTGATCAGCTGATAAATCCTGTTTTTATTTGTCTTCAAGAACGGACTGGCCAATTTCCAGTCACAAAAAAGATCTTTTCATCATCAAATATAGTAACAACTTGCAGTGAATCTGGAAAAGTAAGTACAGATCAACATACTTTCAAACATTTTTTAGCTAGCATGTAAGAATGCACAGTCAAAAATACCGAATTCGATTTTTTCTGATAACGTCGTCGTTAAAAGTTCTATATTTATTATATTGTCCATCATGTATAAATTATACTGACTTTTCTCTGTAAGGGCCTATGGGGAAAAACGAAACATACCACAAGACTCAGTTCGTCAGGCTCTACAAACTGGGATATATCCCGTTAAAAACTGAGACTCACACTTGATGACCTTCCCTCGTAAGAGATTTTTCTAAGATTTCCAGTGTCTTTTCATAAAATAAAAGTGCTTTCGGATCATCGCCAATTATATCATCAACTGGCCCAATCGTCTTATAGGAAATAGCCAAGAAAGGATGATTTGCAGGAATTAGTGCTGTATTAGATATTCAACACACATTATCATTCTCGTTTATATACATATATTTTTACTAATAATATTGTAAAACCACCAACTGAGCTTTCAGTCAGATTTTATGGTACAACATTGAAACTTCGTAAATACGAGCAACAACTTATTGATTGCGCCAAAAGCACACAAGAAACACCGGATATCATTATGACTAACTGTATTAAAGGTAGCGCTATCTTTTTTCTAATTATACACTAATTTGTTTTGTAAATACTTATATTTACTCCTTTAAAACATTTATTTATTAATTATGCAATAAACTTCTTGCGTATTTTTTTATTCGTGCTTAACTCTCTAGTGCTTATTATTCACCAATCCGAATATTTGTTAGTTTATTCAAGTCTTAATATTATAAAGTCATAAAATAATTGATTCTTTTATGATAGTTTTTACACAATTTCCAAAATTATTATGCACTTCAATGTTCCATTTCATAAAATTCACTAGCTATTAAAATTATTCTTTATCTCATACTATCTATTGATGTTTGTTATTATGAAACACATAAGCATTAAACATAAACTATGACGAGATTTTTAATTAGGTCACTTTATGCGTTTGTTTTTTTTTATTCATAATATTGTGCAACGCGTGTGTATAATCACAAAATCACACTGAGTCGATCCAACAAATTGTTCTTGTCGCATGGATTTATAACTCAATCGAAGAATACTGTCACAGATTCCTCTTTGGCAAAAAACTGTCGCCAATCATCAAGTTGTCATTCATAATAATTTGAAACAGCAAGAAATAGCCGATTATGTGTGTAACAAAAGATAAACATGTTATAACTATCGCGTTAACATTCGCCAACTCATTAAAAACAGTATACGTTCTTATCACTAGAAGATATCATAGAATAGTCAACATTTTCACAATTACTGACTGTTAAAGGATGATATGTATCGTCCTCTTTTCTTTCTATTCTCTTCACATTTCATCATCTTTCTGGTTGCATCAGTTCCTCTTTGTGATGCTGTCGCATCGTTAGTCAGCTTCACTTTTATTCGTATGTAGTGTATATAGTACTGATTTCTTTGCAATAAGTCATCTCCATTTTATCTTCAGAGTTATAGCGATCGGACAGGACTATACGCTCACATTGACACACTTATATTCATGACTTTCAGAATGAAAATTCGTTTGGCCACTGTTTTCGAGGCAGAAGCAATTACACGTGTTCATTACAATGCTGTCCACGGAGTAAAACCTGCAAACTTCTATGAACAGAATATTTTACAAAGTTGGGCACCATCACCAACGGATGAGCATCGTCTCAATCAATTTCGCAGCATTATAGAATGTAAAAAAGAACTAGTCTTTGTTGCCGAATCAGACAATAAGATAATCATAGGATTCGGAGCAATTATTGCTTCTCAACACGAGCTTCGTGCACTTTATGTTGATCCAATGTACGAACATCAGGGTGTTGGCAGCAACATTTTGAAACATCTTGAAGAATTAGTTTTGGAGCAAGGCGCCGATATGTTAAAATTAGAAGCTACTCTCAGTGCTGAAACATTTTACATTCGTCATGGCTATTCGATAATAGAATACAGCTTTCATCCATTGCGATCAGGTGATCAAATGAAGTGTGTGAAAATGAGCAAAGAACTACGCAAGAGTTAGAGTAAAATAAATAACTATTTTGTTTGTGTTTAAATTCTAATAGACGAACTTATATAATTGTACATCTTCGAATTTCTATTGAATTTTTTGTTAGATATATACAGCTTCTGAAAGTTTCGGATGAGAATGTTGAATGTGAGTGGATCAAAGGACTGAATTTTGTTCCCAATCAAGTCTGGCTATACATAAAATGAAGTACTCGTTTAGACCGACGTTTTTATACTTTATAAAGCGACTCAATGAGTAAAGTGACGGAAAAAGTTTAAGAACAAGAGTTTTTCTTCTCGTTTTCTTTCAAGGTAGGACCCATTAGCTGTCTAATAATTGTTATAGGTAACAATGATACATAGTTATTCAGGACATATGAGAACGCTTCAAAAGTCTTTGTTCCTATTTCATAGTAAATAGTTTATTTTTTCACCAGCAGAAAAAAGTTTAAGAACAAAACCAGCATATCTATCAGCTCATTATCAAAAAACGTTTGTTTGAGCTCACAACGATTCTCAAAGGTTATCACGAATACTTTTATCTATTTTCTAAACAATTGGTTACAATCTACGGNCCCACGTACACACCCACACCCACACCCACACCACCCACCCACACTCACCCCCACCCTCATTGACAACGCAATCTTTATTCGTTATATTGATGAGAAAAATAGTAATAACTTTATTTTAGAATATCTGATAAAGAGATTAGAATACAATTGAATTCAATTGGACTTTTAATTAGATATCGAAACTAAAACGATTATTAAAAACTTAACATGAATATAGTGATACTCTCTGGCTTTTTTTATCTTTGCTCGTAAAAGTTAAAATGTTTCTAAAATTTTACCCTAAATATTCGATTGTATGTTCAGTTTTTCGACCACATATTATGCCTTTTCTTGTATGAAGTCCATTATCTGCAGCATCAACAGTGATAATCATGGAAAACAACATTCCATACAATAGACATAATATCGAGGCATAGAAATTTTGGTCAACCATTGAAAATGAATTGTACACGTATAATTATTCTCTTCTTTATTGAAGAATAGCTAAAGAAAAATTAAAATCTATCAAATAGAACAAACAATGATAATTTCTCATTCAAAGTCTGATATTATTTTTATCAATATCTTTCGAATAACGTTTTAATCATTATTTTGACCAATGTACAATAAAAATTGTTAAAACTTTTTCGTATAAACCATAACAACAACGAGTATGACATCGAAAAATTTTCAAGACATTCACTCAAAGAACAAGACAAGGCTAACAATGTTCACAAGCTGGATATATAGTATTACAAAGAGTATTTTACTAATTCGATAAAATTTACCTTTCAGTATGCGCCGCAACTCTATCCCTTTGATAATGACTTAGAATGTAACATTTTCGAATTCGATAGAGTTTTTAAGTACAAAGGATTATATTTTCTTCATGATTTGAGTGTGTCATGATATTTATACGACGACATTTTGAAAAATGTTACAAATAAGAATGTTTCATTCTATTCGAAGACAATCGCTTGGCAATAACTCGAACGGATTTGTCTATAGAGAAGAAAACTGAACAAAGTTACATCGGTCATCACGAAATATGCAGCTCTCAAGTAATAGAATTCATACAAGATTAATGAATACTGAAATATGACAAGATTTTTAAAGAAAAATAAAAATTCATGATATCAACAATATTGTCACAGAATACATTGATAAATGTCATAATCTTGTTGTAAATAACAATATGATGTATGTATTCTGTAGACTAAAAAACAATAACAGAATTTTTCAATCCAAGAAATCATAAAAGACTCAGTGAACAACACCAAAAACAGCTAAATGATTTATTTGATCATCCTCAAAAGATAAATCGCACGTTTGTTTAATGTTCAATAAATTTATTCGCATAATGAAAAGTATCAAAAAACTTTTGTGACATCTAGAAGCTCTAGATTTTTGTGAATTATTAAATGTTAACATATTGAACAAGAATATAATTAGAAGAGTCAAATACAAATTATATCTCAATTTTAGATAACTTGAATAAAAAACTCAGTTGTTAAGATTAAAAACTTTTATGATCATATGGAAATGAACATCATGATATCTTTAAAACAAAATAGACTAATTGATGATAATGAAAAAGTGAAAAGCAGTTCGTTTCTCATGTTGATATTTTGCTATCTTCATTAAATTGATGATTCATATTGTTGTGCTAATGATCAAACTACTGTGTTGCTATTGATATATCCATTTTTATTGCTATATTTATTTTATCAATTTCGATAAAATTTTCATGTCTCAAATTGTGACTAACCAAGATATCTAAATAAATTCTAAATCATTGCACACATATTTGTTTGTCTTGCATGACTATTTTCAAATATTTTCTTTGATGCATTTTTTTTTTCAAATGAGCCATGTCTGATTCATTCTTTTAGTAGGCTAAAGGAAGTTTATTTTGTTTACAACATTAGGAAAAAAGGAAAAATGATTCACTTTCTTCCCAATAACATCGTACTCAAAACCCATTTTTCATTCTTGACTTCATTTTTATCTTATTTTACAATAACGCATGTGAAACACTTTATGAAGCGACGGAAATAAAAAAAAAGCAAGAAAACTACATATAACAGCTTATCGAGAAGTATGAATGGGGCTGTAGGATAAATCAGATTATTGACGAATTTTCAGCTGTATAGGCTTCTTTGATAATATTAACATAGGTATATTTCAGTTGTTTTTCAAAAAACTTTTCTTTACGTTATATGTGAGTTAAGGAGACTAATGTAAAATAAAACAACTATAATAACTCCATAAATGACAATTAGATAAGAAAAAGTAACCAATTTTTATCATTTTAATCAGTATAGGTATCTTGATATGCGGTTATGGCTTATTGAAAAAATTCAATTCAGGTTCCTTGACTTCTGTATTTCATAATTTTCTTATTAGGTTTCAAAATTTTGACTCAGGTTGAACTCTAATGAATATATTTTTTTTCTTCATAATACGGTACGATAATCACGAACCCACACCTTTACAAATAATGGTAAATCAGTGGTTATTGCTCTTCCTAATAAACGAGAAAAATATAAGAAATGTTTTAATATTAAAATGAAACAAATTAATCAAATTTTACATTAGTTCTGTGGAAAAATATTTTTGTGAAGATAATGAATGTTTCACATCTCATTCAGAACTAATTATTAACACTTTTCTTCATGTTAATAGTTTTTGTCAGGAAGCTTAAAAAGAGGTAGTATTTTAGTTTTTCTTTCAACGTCGTAATATTGACGAACGAAAGAACAGACAAAAATTAATAACTGAAAAGAGTATTAGCTCGTGTTTAGAATATTCGTGATCAGTGATACGTGACATGAAAGCAACAAATGTAATTTTGCGTTTTTCGGCGAAACACAGGAAAAATATAATATCTTTCGAGTCTTCATTTTCTAAAAGAGAAAATCAACGTTACAGTAAGAGAACTAACAAGTCATATTTGTCATATTAATTGAAAGTAATTTCTAGGAATATTTAGGATGTGCTAATGTGACTAATACATGATTTCCATCATTGAAAATTTACTGATTATATGTGTTATAGAAGAGTTTGAACGTAAATATATTGACGTTGTCTTACAGCATATCGTCGGAGATCCACATTCAAGCTCACCATTAGTCTAGATATTAAGCAATCTTAGAAAAGAAGAAAAAACGAAATCAATGAATCGTTTTTCTTTGGTAATCAGAAAAAAAAACTTTATCCTACAATGTTCTAACATAAATGGACGAAACCAACGACATAATAGAAGTGAATTCATATTGGTTAATGTCATAATGACGGTCATACTAGAAATTATTGGATGAGCTTTCATGTATTCATCTTCGATCGAACTGATTCATCTCATTTACCTATATTTCAACAATGAGCATAAGCGATGATGTTTTCATGGAGAGTTGTTGTCGATTTGAACAGCAATATTGTTACAAATAAAAATCAAGTGAATCAAATGGCTTTTTCGATATAGTGCTGATCGCATTGAAATGATTCGATAACCTAAATAAAATAACCAAAAATACTATCATTCGTTTTTCTATTCGGCGATATTTAAAATGTCTCATTTGTTAAGCAATAATGATATACAAGAGCGCAATCAATGGAGAACAAAATTGATCATAATTACACTAGTTTTATACAGTTATCGATTGAATCACTACAGGTTTACTTGTTGACAACTAACTGATTCTATCAACAAGGACAATGGGTAATAGATGCATGAGCAAAGAAGAAAGTAGAAAATATATACTGAAAAAAAAATCTGGCAAACGAATCTTTATTTGCTTTCTGATCTGAGTATATGGTTGGAATTCACCGAAACAAGTCTAATAATAAAAATCTATTAATAACATCATTATATTATTAATATTCATTATTGAAGAATAAATATGAAATCAATTTTGCTTGTAATGTAAAAAAAAGTGGGTACATTTTAATAATGGAAAATTCCATATTTTGTCTATAAATAGATTCTCTGTTTTTACTGTAGTTTTTCGTTTATTGAGAAGAACTAAACCAACGTTATCATACGTATACACAGAAACAAGAACAATAATGAACCTGCATTTCAATCATTGCTGCATCTTATTACTGTTTATTTTATCTATATGCCAAGTAAGTTTTCATCGTCATCAATTTTAATTTATTTTGAAAACATTTTTTGTTCTACATGTATAGGCTAAAAGTGAAGTCAAATGCCATAAAGCAGGCCCAGTTCGTGAGCATCCATGGAAGAATAGTCCTACAGTCGATCATGTCAACTATGGACAACACTATGACAGTAACTGTTCTGCTATCACCAAAAACAATGGTGGGCGTTTTAAATGGTACTACATCAAGTTATTGAGTGGCAGCTACGGTTACGTAGAAGCCAGCGTGTGTTCGGCCAATGTCAAACTACGTCGCTGCCCTCATAAGAGCCACAAAGGCTAACAATATTAGTTTTAAATTTATCTTGTCCAATTATATTAATTATTTTAACAAATATGTACCATGCAATAACATATTTGTACGTAGTGGACACTTAAGCATCTGTTAGATTATATTTTTGCTATTATTTACAACGATACAAATATAATCTGATAGCTCTTGATACGTCAAACAAGATAGTAACACTATACATTTTCCTTTCATCTGAATTTTTTTGCTAATTCTTATTACCAATAAACAGATCCTACATGTAAGAACAAAAATGTACAGTTTACTCTATGGTATATGGTATGAAAGGAAGAGACATTTAAGATAATTCATGATTAATTAAACAGAATAAAATCTTGTTTCTTTTTATAGTCTATTGGATCTATATAGACACGAATACAAGGAACAAAAATGGATGAAATTTTCGATTGTATGAAATGTACTCTGTTGTTATGTCTACTGAGTAGATATTTTACAGAATGATATATCGTTTTCTAATCTATTGACACAGAAGGAAGACTAGAAAAATCAGGTTCATATAAAATAAAATACAAGAATAAAATCAACATCATATTATCTTTCTCTGGACAAGGTCAAATATGATTTGACTCACAAAGAATCATGATTCTATGTCTTCTACATTGTAGTGTGTCACGTTTTTTTTAACAAAAAAAAAAAAACTAGAATGTTTGAGGAACGATAATGTTCTCATACTCGGTTGAAGGAGATAAGAGTCTATAAATAACTCGTTAAAAGTGTGTCAATCGACCATTTTTGAGTTTGATCTTTCCATAGTATTGATAATGATGATTCTTCTACATGTAATATTCTTATTTTGTGTATTGCATGAAGTTCAAACGATTTTGTATGATACAGATCCTTTTCAATATGATTGTTTGCATTACTTTTCGATTCATTCTAAAATTCTTAGCATCATCGAGTATTGTATTCGTCCAATCGATAATCAAAGTCCACCAATGATGATCGGTTTTCACAATATGAATTATAAGACTTTGACTTTCGACGAATTACAGCGTATGAATGTCACTTCACATGATGTTCTCTTATGGTCATCGTCGATCGATCTTGCTGAACGATATCAATATTATATTGATCAACCAACAAAGTCTAATCGATTAAATGAACATTTCTTTAATTGCACGCTACCATGGTTTGGATCTCATTGTCAATATTCATTTAAATTACCGTTGAATTTAACCGAAAGTTCATTAAACATGCAGTGGAAATCTCATCAGACATGTTACATTTTGTTAGAATGTGATCGTGGTGCGGGATCAATATGTCTCGATTGGCGTGAAATATGTAATGGTCGAATTGATTGTTTCAACGATGGTGTTGATGAAAGCCAATGTTTTGAATTAGAAATCAATGAATGTAATGAAAACAAACGTCGATGTCATAATGGTTTGTGCATTCCGAAATGGTTTTGGAATGGTGAATTTGATGAAGCCGAATGTCTTGATAAATCCGATTTATTGGTTATGTCTGGCTGTCCAAATACGTATCTAAAACTTCATATTTTTGCCTGTGCAGAATATACTTGTCGACCCGATGAAGGTCAATTTCCATGTGGTGATGGACAATGTGTTGAAGATTTTGGTCAATGTCGTAATGGACGGCATCGCCTATTGATTGAGTCACTTAGTGCTCAAGGCAATCTACCATATGATTGTTGGATAGCTATGGTTTGTCTTAGTAAAATAATCGATCAAGTTGACGAAGTATCATGTGAACAGTTGGTTAACCATTCTGAGATTCTTCGTCGACTAGAAACGTGTGAATATCCTGTTCAATTTCCTGTTATACCTGTGCTATTAGGTCACGTACGTTTTTTATACGATACAAAAGAAATATTTAATATCAGCTCTCAATTAGCTCTCTTACCCGACTATATCTGTTATGATGAAGAATTATGCGATTTTCTCACGCCTACATTTCATCATGGAAATTTGACTTGTCGATATGGTTATGAGATGGGTCTTGAACCAGATTTCGAAGTCAACGACTGGAAATCAATCGTTGATTTAGTTAAACCTCATTTTCATGGTTGCATTACTCGACATTATCACAACATTCGGTCGTCTGATGTATCATTGTATGCTTGTAAGAATTCGTCGAAATACATTTCTAAACATCGACTCTTTGACGGTATATCGGATTGCTTTTTGAACGATGATGAACAAATATCTGAATGGAGTTGTTCGTTGAATGAACCATACCGATTCCAATGTCTAGATGACGTTCAATGTCCATCAATTTCATTACTAAAAAATGTTTGTCAATCTGAAAGACATAAAACTTTTGATCAGATCTTATTTTATGAAATCTGCAATCGAGTCACCGACGTTTCTCCAATGATCATCAACGATAGAGTTCATTCAGATGAGACCGATTGTGAGAATTGGCCATGTAACAATGTTTACACGCGATGTGATGGTTTTTGGTCTTGTACTGATGAAAACGATGAAAAAAACTGTACACGTCCGCTTTGTCCTGAACAGTTTCTTCCTTGTATTTCAACACATAATTCTACATTAATTTGTTTACCAGCAAATCAAGTTGGTAATGGAATCATTGATTGTCTCGGAGCATCAGATGAACTTGAATATTGTCGACAGAAATATATCAATGAACAAACTTACAGATTTTATTGTCAAAATGATACGACATGTATCGAACATTATCAATTATGTGATGGCGTTGAAGATTGCCTATTGGGAGATGATGAAAAATTCTGTGGAAATCGTTCACAACTATGTGAACAAACAAATCTTGATGATCTTACCGATATAGAGTATATTTTATGTCGCATTGTTTCGATACATAGATATTTTTTTTCATTGCAAACTGCATTAACTTATCCGTTATCGCCAACTGTTCGCATTGATTTGGTTGATGATAGTCCATCAGATGAACGATATGAAAAATCTTCATTTGATGACTCTGCACGATCTGGATTTTGCAATTATGGTCTCTATGTTTATCATCGACTTTCATTTGACAATATTAGTGGTATATGTTTTTGTCCACCGAATTATTACGGTGATCGATGTCAGTATCAAAATCAACGTGTCAGTTTAACTGTCGTATTGGGATTTCTTCAATATCGAACAATTTATGCCATTGTCATTACTTTATTTGAAGATGACGATAATCGACAAAAAATTCATTCATATCATCATTTAACACAAGTACCAAAATTTTGGTGTGGTCGACCTCATAATATTTATCTTTTATATTCAATTCGGCCAAAAGACAACTCAAAAAAATACAATATTCGCGTCGATGCATTCGACAAGACTTCATTGATCTATCTAGCAAGTTGGTATTTTAAAATTCCGTTTGTTTTTTTACCAGTTAATCGACTAGCTATCTTTTTGACTCTACCAGCTTATCGAGCATCGCATTTTGGTCCTTGTCCTGTTCGATGCTATAAAGGTATTTGTACGAAATATCTTAATGAAGAACGATTTTTTTGTCGATGTTATCCTGGTTGGTCGGGTGCACAATGTCATATTTCAATTGATTATAGTTATTGTTCGTCAAATTCGGTCTGTGTTGGTTCCATACACAATCGATCCATCTGTGTTTGTCCTATCGACAAGTTCGGTTCACGTTGTCTTCTTCAACAAGCATGTCCAAAAGACTTTTGTCAAAATAATGGTCAATGTGTATTAGTTGATGATAGAATGATTGATGATAGCTACGTATGTATTTGTCCTGAACAATTTGGTGGCATCAGATGTCAAGAAGTCAAATCGAAAATAGAAATTTCCTTTCAAAATATCGAAATTCCGTCATACTTATTCGCTTATATCTATTCTGATATTGATAACATACAACCGACACTAACATTTGTCATACTACACAAAGTGAAAATGTTTCAAAACATTATAACGTTATATTCTATGCTTTGGTTTTATCTAGTTATTCTCAGGATCGATATTAATTATTATTTGGCTGTTGTTCAACAAACTCCTTTAGTAAACGTGTCAACAACGATCACTCCTGCTCAACGATGTGTTCCGTTTCAGGAATTGTTCAATTCTGAATTACTCAAATTACCACGAATTCATCGATTGAAAAGTTATCATATTCCATGTCAAAAGAATATTGACTTACAATGTTTTACCGATGAATCGTATATTTGTCTATGTACTGTAGAACGTCATAGTAATTGTTTTCTATTTGATTTTAATATGACGATTGCGTGTCAAGATGATGTTTATTGTGAGAATGGTGGAAAATGTTTACAAGATCGAGCAACATGCCCAGAAAGTGTTCTATGTGTATGTGCTGACTGTTTCTTTGGTGATCGTTGTCAATTTTATGCTAAAGGTATTGGATTAACATTAGATGATATGTTACGATATGTAATTCGACCTAATATATCCTATAATGATCAATCAATTATTATTAAATTGAGTGCAGCTCTAACAATGATAATATTTGTAACTGGTTTAATAAATAGTCTTCTTGCTTACTTAGTATTTCATCAGCCAAATACTCATACAGTTGGTTCTGGAATGTATCTTCATATATTATCGATCGTTTCTGGTCTTGTTGTTAGTATTTTGACAATTAAATTTTGGTTCGTCGTACATACTCATATTAATCAATCGATCCACCGTTGTATTCTGCATGGAGGATGTGTATTACTTGAGATAGCTCTCAAATTTTTCTTACATATGAGTAACTGGCTCAATGCTTGCGTAGCTATTGAACGCATGTTTACAGTTTATAAAGGAATTCATTTTGACAAGAATTACAGCAAATATATTGCACGATGGACAATTCGATTTTTGCCATTCATTATTTTGAGTCCGTTGAGTCACGAATTTATCTATCGTGGATTGTTTGACGATCATGAAGAACAACGTATTTGGTGTGTATTTCGTTATTCTCAATCGATTGAACAATATAGTAGAACAATTCAACTTTTTCATTTTACTGTTCCCTTTTCTATCAATCTATTCTCTGCTCTTTTCATCATATACAACATGGCTCGTCGACGAGCAATAACTCAGATTCGACAAAATAATGAACATCAATTTCTTGAACAACTCAATGAACACAAACAACTTATTATCAGTCCGATTGTTTTAGTCATTCTATCATTACCTCGACTAATCATTTCATTATTATCAGGATGTATAAAAGTGTCACGAAATCCATGGTTATATCTGTCAGGTTACTTTATTTCGTTCCTTCCATCAACGTTTGTCTGTGTCATATTTGTCCTTCCATCGACATTCTACAAGAAACAATGTCAAGAGTTGATCATCAGTTGGCAACGACGAATTTTTTGTTGTCGAACTTTTTCTTCGAACAAATAATGGGTCAAATGCATAGTTTAAATTAAACAGTATCCACGTTTTAATTTAGTATAAAATGTTTTATCATATCGTCAACATCTTATCATAAAAAAACCAATAATGTTCTAGTTTATCATTGTTTGTTTGAACAAATTTTTGTCAATTTTAATAGAATAGAATTCTTTCGAGTCATTTCAAATATCATTTGTAAGGAATTCTTCTTAAGTTCTTCATAGATAATCATCAACATAAATTCAGAATACGATTTATAATAAGATTTATTGAATACTTGACTAACAAGCTGCAACAGATAGAAAATGAAAAACAGTAGCAATTCAAAAAATAATGATGGTTCTCTTCAAACAAATAATATATCTGATGATTTCTATCAGACGATCGAAAAAACTTATGTCAATAGATAAATAGTGATAGCAACAAAAAAGCCAAAATAAGTTCTATTCAAAAGACAGATAAATACATAATATTTTATCAATCGCCGAAATCTGATTCATAGTGAACAATTGTATTTTATTTTCGTATTTCTACTATAAAATAAAACTTAAATCAAACAAGAAACTCTGTCTTCTTGCAACTCATATTCAATGATTTGTATTAGGATAGACATCAAATAACATTTAGGTTTGTAAAGTTTGATAATAAATTGAAAGATGAGTTCGTTTGAAAATGTGTCGAATTATTCAATGATTATTCGATGAATGAAATAAATGTACAAAAACAAATCAAAATCATAGAATGAGAATGTTATTCACTTCAGGCCTTAGCTTCGAATTCTTGTTCGTTTTTATAAGATTTAAGTCTCGACTGAACAAATGAAAAAAAGAATTTTCCTTCCCAACATTGTGATCGTCATATTAGTCTTTTGTTTTGGTATTCATGATAAATCTGAATAAATAGTCAGTTCAATAAGCAAATTATTTTTCGATGTTGAAAAACAAGAAGAATTTCATTTTTTTTTCTTTCATTCATAATTAAATCCTCATCAACGATCATCTATATTTTAAATTCTATCGTTGATGATGATAAAAATAGCAAAGGAAAAATCCATATTGTCATGTATTCAGGTTACACGAAATGTAGAATGTATTGTATTATCAATTGCGTAATACAATGAGGTTCAGGTCAAAAACTTGTTTATTGACTTGAAGAACAGAAACAACTACAAGTTGAAGAAACAACAGAAATAGTATATAATCTTTTAGAAAAGACAAACATTTATATACATAAAGAAGATCTGTATGTTGTGATGATTCATACAGTTAAATGAAGAATAGGAAAGGGACACAAAAGAAATATAACAATAAAGATATTGTTATATACGCAATTAGAGTGATCACAACATAAGGAAAAATACCTACATATATATGTATAAAACTATACATATACGTAAATCATGAGTCATCAATAGACGAACACCAACAGACTAGAAATGAAGTAAAATGTAACAACAATAACAATTATTGTCAATACATGACACATATATCATTGAAATATACCACTGGAACCATCCTAGGAAAGATAAAAAATAGTCATTCACACCTACATACAAATGCTTATATATAAAGAAAAACAAAACTGACAAAAATATCAATCATATTGGCCATCTCCTCGTGAAGAAAACGAACGAAAATATTCTTAAAAAAAAAAGGAAGAAAAGAACGAACAAAAACATCAACGACAAGGTGCAGTAACTGATCGAATATAATTTTTGTCGTCACATATCTTGAAACTATGGCGAGTAAAGACATCAATAATTTAACTCAAGAATGTGCTATTGTCTGGTTAGATAGTAATATTGGGAAAGCCAAAGGTAATCTAGATACAAAGGCATTTTTACGACGACTGGTTCGAGGCCGTTTATTTACATTTGGTGATTCTAATAAATGCGTTGAATTTATGATGACTGAACTGGTAACAAAACGAGTATTATTTATAGTTTCTAACGCATTTAGTCCGGATGTTGTACCTCTTATTAATGAATTACCATATATACAAGCAATATATATATATTGTGGTAATCGACAGAGAGCAGAATCATGGATTAAATCAAAATATAACATCTCTGGTATATTCACAAAACAATCAGAACTATTACACAAAATTTATAATGATACTAACATGTACAATACAGATAATGATTTACCAATGAGAATATTTCATCTTGCAGAACAAGAAAATACATTACAAAAATTGACTGAAGAAAGTGCAACATTTATGTGGTATCGATCATTACTGATGGTTGTTCGATTCATGGCAAAATATGGTAACTCAAAAGATGAATTGATTAATGAGTGTCGAGCAATATATCATAATAATGAAGCTGAAAAAAAAGAAAATAGATGATTTTGAAAAGAATTATTGTCCAAAAAGAGCATTTTGGTGGTATACTTCTGATAGTTTTGTATATCGGTTATTAAATCGAGCTTTACGTACACAAGATATTGAAATTATATTTACATTTCGATTTTTTGTCAATGATCTTCATAATCAAATCGAACAAATCTATCATCAATATTTAAATAGTTATTCTTCTACTATTGAAAATCGTCAACTAACAGTTTATCGTGGTCAACGTTTAAGTATGACAGAACTTGATCTACTTAAACGTAATGAAAATGAACTTATTTCAATAAATAGTTTCTTTAGTACTACATTGAATCTAAATTTAGCTCAAATTTTTGCTGGTACAAATGATCAATCGAATGATCCATCATCATTACAATCAGTTCTTTTCATCATTGATATTAATAATATAAGTAAAGAAACGACACCATTTGCAAGTCTTTAAAACTATTTGTGTCTAGATGAAGAAGAAGAAGTACTTTTTACAATAAATGCTATTTTTAAGGTTCAATCAGTTAAACAACATAGCAATATATGGCATGTTCATTTGCAACTAAGTAAAGAACAAAATGAACTTAATCAAAGACTATCAAATCATATAATAAAAGAAATTGGATCATAACCAAGTCCCTTATTATTCGGCTGGTTTCTTTTTCGAACGAATAAATTTAACAAAGCTGAACGTTACGTAGAATATATACTTACACAACTTCCACCAAATGATAAATCAATTGGAGATGCTTATAATTTACTTGGTCTTATCTATAAAGATACTCATCAACTAGAAAAATCTGTTGAATGCTATGAAAAAGCTCTTGATCTTTATTCTCGATTAAATTTTTATGATATTCCTCAAGTTATTGTTACCCGTTGTAATCTTGGTTTGGCTTATTTAGCATTAGGAAATAGTCGAAGTGCCGAAGAACAACTACAAGAAGCCGAAGAGAAATTATTCAAATCGTTACAATCACAAAATTCATTACTGATAGCTACAGTAGAGAGTCTCAAAGCAAAAATTCAAACGGAATATGGCGATAATACAAATGCTTTGAAAAGTCTTCAATTAGTTTTAACGAATAAATATAAACGATTACCATCAGCTCATGCTTCAATAGCATCAACATTGAATTCAATAGGTATTGTGTATGAAAATATGAACAATAATGTCGAAGCATGTAACTATTTTCAACAAGCATTGAACATCGGAATGAAAACGTTACCGTCTGATCATCTCGATTTAGCTGATTATCATACAAACGTTGGTCGTATTTATTACAAACAGACACAATTTAAACTTGCTTTAGAACAATTTCAATTAGCACGAAAAATTATGGAAGATTATTCACGAGACGAGAATGGCAGAATTTCTAGATTAGAATTATATATCAATGCGATAGAAAAAAATTTATGATGGTCATAAATTTAGTGGTAACATTGTTTTTTTTCCTCACTTATTTTGATAATTTGACAATAAAGTGCAACAATGTAAAAGGGTGGGTGTGGGTGTGGGTGGGTGTGGGGTGTGGGTGTGGGTGTGGGTGGGTGTGGGGGGTGGGATTGACCATCAAAAGGTCAGCACTCACAGCCCCACCCACACCCAGACC